GTACTGGCATAGAAACAGAATGGTGGATCAATGGAATCAAATAGAACCAGAAATAAAGCCACACATTTATGGACACCTGATCTTTGACAAAGATGCCAAAACCATACAATGGAAAAAAGATAGCATCTTCAACAAATGGTGCTGGTCTAACTGGATAGCTATATGTAGAAAAATGCAAATAGATCCATACTTACCACCCTGCACAAAACTAAAGTCCACGTGGATCAAGGACCTCAACATAAAACTAGACACCCTAAATCTGTTAGAAAAAAAAGTGGGGAATAGCCTTGAGCTCATTGACACAGGAGACAACTTCCTGAACAGAACACCACCAGAACAGGCTCTAAGATCTACAATCAATAAATGGGACCTCATGAAACTGAAAAGCTTCTGTAAAGCAAAGGACACTGTCATCAGAACAGAACAACAGCCTACGGATTGGGAAAGGATATTCACAAATCCTGTATCTGACAGAGGGCTAATATCCAGAATATATAAAGACCTCAAGAAGTTAAACAGCAACAAATCAAGTAATCCAATTAAAAAACAGAGAATTCGGGGGCTGGAGAAATGGTTCAGTGGTTAAAGGTACTGTCTGCTCTTCCAAAGGACCCGGGTTCAATTCTCAGCACCCACATAGCCACTCACAACGCACATGAAATAAAATTAAAAAAAACAAAAACAAAAAACAGAGAATTTTCAATAGAGGAATATTGAATGGCAGAGAAACACTTAAAGAAATGCTTGACATCCTTAGTCATCAGGGAAATGCAAATCAAAATGACTCTGACATTTCACCTTACACCCATCAGAATGGCTAAGATCAAGAATTCAAGTGACAATATATGCTGGAGAGGATGTGGAGAAAGGGGAACCCTCCTCCATTGCTGGTAGGAATGTAAACTTGTACAACCACTTTGGAAATCAAAGTGCTTTGTAAATCAAATTTGGTGCTTTCTCAGACAATTAGGAATAGTGCTACCTTAAGATCCAGCTATACAACTCCTGGACATATATCCAAAAGATGCTCAAGTACACAACAAGGACATTTGCTCAATCATGTTCGTAGCAGCTTTATTTGTAATAGCCAGAATCTGGAAACAACCTAGATATCCCTCAGTTGATGAATGGTTACAGAAATTGTGGTCCATTTGTACAATGGAATACTACTCAGCAATGAAAAACAAGGAAATCATGACATTTGCAGGCAAATAGTGGTACCTAGAAAAGATCATCCTGAGTGAGGTAACCCAGAAGCAGAAAGACACACATAGTATATACTCACTTATAAGTGGATATTAGACATATAATATAGGATAATCATACTAAAATCTGTGCACCTAAAGGAGCTAAGCAAGGATGACGACCCTGGGTAAGATGCTCAATCTTCATTCAGAAAGGCAAATGGGGTGGACATTGGAAGAAGGTAAAAATAAGGAACAAGACAGGAGCCTACCACAGAGGGCCCCTGGAAGACTACCCAGCAGGGTATTAAAGCAAATGCTGAGACTCATAACTAAGCTTTGGGCAGAGTGCAGGGAATCTTATGAAAGAAGGGGGAGATAGAAAGATCTGGAAGGGTCTGGAGCTCCACAAGAAGAACAGAACCAAAAAAATCTGGGCAAAGGGGTCTTTTCTGAGACTGATACTCCAATCAAGGACTGTCCATTCATGGAGATAACCTGGACCCCTTGCACAGAGGTAGTCCGTGTCAGCTCAGTCTCCAAATGGGCTCCCTAATAAAGGGAGCAAGGGCTGTTTCTGACATGAACTCAGTGGCTGGCTCTTTGATGGAGCAGCCTGACCAGGCCACACAGGAAGACTATGAAAGACAGTCTTGATGACACCTCATAGGCTATGGTCAGATGAAAGGGGAGGAGGTCCTTCACTATCAGTGGACTGGGGACGGGGCATGGGAGGAGATGAGGGAAGGAAGGAGGGTGGGATTGGAAGGGGATGAGGGTGGGGGCTACAGCTGGGATACAAAGTGAATAAATTGTAATAAATAAATACATTAATAATATGTAAATAAATATAAAGATATTAAAAAACATTAAGACTATGGAGGATGTCTTGTTTTCAAACCATAACAGAGAAAAGTGGACTGGTGGCTTCTGTTTCTTGCTTGGATAGTAAGAACACCAGTGTTTATTTTTTTTAGGTTTTATATGCTCATTTTATATATGTTTTTTGTATCTTTATATATTTTACTAAAAATCACTTTTCTTTCTCTTTTCCACTTTTCTACTTTGGTTTCATCCAAGTGATTTATGATGATTTGAGTGACAATATTCCTCAGAAGCTCAGCTTTTGTCTCCTTGTTCCCCAGGAGGTAGTACTCTTTGAGTAGGTTTAGGCTATGTAGAATTGTTGAAGGAAGTATGAGGCCTCAGAACCAAGCTGTCATCCCCAGTTTGGGCTCTCTGCTTCCTGCTTGTAGTTAAGATGTGAGTTCCCAGGTTGCAGCTACCAGGCCTACCTGCTGTCACTCTTCCCTGCTGTGATGGCAATGGAGTCTGTCTTTCCCTCTGGCACCAGGGACCAAATAGACCCTTCCTCTTTTATAAGTTGCTTTGGTCATGGTATTTTATCACAGCAATAGAAAAGTAACTAAGACATGATTCCTTATTTCAAAACCACCTCTGCCTGCACCTACAATGTCTTACTTCAGTGTGATCTGCCAGGACCACAGGAGCCTTCTGCTCCATTGGTAGCAAAATCATCTCTCTTGTTACCACTTTTCTTGTTGTCACCTAATAGCAGATTAAATAGAAGATCTGAGGTTAAGATGGAAGGTGTCTTAGTTTGGGTTTCTATTGCTGTAAAGAGACACCATGACCCTGGCAACTCTTATAAAGGAAAACATTTCATTGGGGTTGGCTTAGAGTTTCAGAGGCTTAGTCTGTTGTCATCATGGTGGTATACATGACATCATTTATGCAGACATGGTGCTGGAGAAGGAGCTGAGAGGTCTATATCTGGATTGGCAGGAAAAGAATGGGGCAAATTAGGCCTGGCTTTAGCTTCTGCCTCCAGAGTGACACACTTCCTTCAACAATGTCACACCTACTCCAACAAGACCATACCTCCCAATAGTGCCAGTCCCTATGAACCTACGGCCATTTCCATTGAAACTACTACAGAAGGTATGGAGAATGAAAGGGCAGCTAGGGATGTCAGGATATTTGAATCAGGGCCATTTCTAGTCTGCCTGTTCTCACTCCCTTTAGGCTTGATCAGCAGCGCCACTGAGATGTAATTCTTGTAGCAATCAGTCAGTGGCTCTGCATTCTGCCTGCAAAATACCATCACCACCTTTTTTTTTTTTTTTTCCCCTAGAGAGGGTTTCTCTGTGTAGCCTTGGCTGTTCCTAGAACTCACTCTGTAGACCAGGCTGGCCTGAAACTCAGAGATCCACCTGCCTCTGCCTCCCAAGTGCTGGGATTAAAGACGTGTGCCATCAATGCCCAGCAATCTAAAACCAGAAGGACCCTCCTACCTCTGAGCTGTCAGCTCCCAACCCTCCCACTCATGATCTAGGCACTCACTGATCTTGAGTTTCTACAGGTTTGACTGTTCTGTCCATACCATGTAATTGAGTTTTAATAATGTGATCTGTGTGATTGCTTTCTTTTTCTTACTGTTTGTTCATACTGTAGTATGTCTTACTACAGTATTATATCTATATTATATATACCATATCATAGTATACCTTACTACAGTATTTCATTACTGAACAGTAGTCAATACTGAACAGTACTTTGGGGGTAAACTACTTACATTATCCATGCATTAGTTGATCCATATTTGGCATTTTCCCACTCTACCTACTTTTTTAAAAATTTATTTATTATGTATACATGGTTCTACCTGCACGTCAGAAGAGGTTGTGAGTCACCATGTTGGTGCTGGGAATTGAACTCAGGACCTCTGGAAGAACAGCCAGTGCTCTTAACCTCTGAGCCATCTCTCCAGCCCCTCTACCTACTTTTTTAGAGAATTTTTTTGAGAATGTTTTGTTTTGTTTTAAGATTTATTATTTATTATGCATACAATGTTTTGTTTGCATGTACACCTGCAAGCCAGAAGAGGGCACAAGATTTCATTATAGGTGGATATGAGCCACCATGTGGTTGCTGGGAATTGAACTCATGGCTTCTGGAAGAACAGCCAGTGCTCTTAACCTCTGAGCCAGCTCTCCAGCCCTCCAGCAGCAAGTGTTATATATTTATTCTAGAAAACTTAAAAGTACTATGGAATGTAAAGGATAATAACAATTTATGTGTAAGTCTGCCACTTTCAAACAAGCCTTGTTGGCTGGCATGGTGGTTCGTGCCTGTAATCCCAACCCTTGGCTGGTAGGAGCCGGAGGACTAGGGAATCAAGGCCAACCTGTTCTGCATGAGACTGTATCCAAACAACAACAAATCCAAAAATCTCAGGGCTGGGAGTGAGTCTGGATAAAAACGCTTGTTGTGTAAGCCTGAGGCCTTGAGCTGAAATCCCAGCTGCCCTGTAGGGAAAGCTGGATATGGGCACGCTAGGCTGTAGCCCTGACTGTCACGGGAGGGAAGAGGAGCTGTAGGCTAGGTTCTAGCCCAGCCCCAGGTTGGCTAGAGACCTTTGTCTCAGGAGATTAGAGAGGAGTGCTTAGAGAAGGGTAGGCACAGTGCTCCTCTGGTCTCTGTTCATCCGCTTAGGCATGTGCATTCTCGCACACGTGCATCCTAAGCCCCACACACAGCCTTGTTAACACGGTTTCTATTGAAAAAAATTGCGCGTCTTCTTAAGATTTACTTTGTATTTGAGCAGATTCTCTCTGCCAGATCTCAGTAAGATTGGACAACCGCAGTTCATTAATAACCTATCAGTCATGCGCAGTGGTAATGAAGTGGGTTGTTAGCTGTCAGATGGGGTACAGAGGACATCATGAAAACGTGTATGAGCTGGTATAAATATAACAGTGAGGTTTCTAACATGCTCACCTCTGCTCTGTTTAGGAAGCTAGCAGGATGCACAGTTTTTATCACAGGGGCGAGCCGAGGCATTGGCAAAGCTATTGCATTGAAAGCAGCGAAGGATGGAGCAAACATTGTTATTGCTGCGAAGACTACACAGACACACCCGAGACTTCTGGGCACAATCTACACTGCTGCTCAAGAAAGTGAGTGTGCGGCTGCTGCTTCTTAGGCCGTCTTTAAAGTGGCTTCCATACAGAACTAGCTGTAGAGTTTGCTGTAAGCTCTTTGAAATTGCATTTAGGGCCAGCGACATGGCTCAGCAGGTAAAGAAAGGTGCTTGCTACCAAGCCTGACACCCTAAGCCAGGTCTCCAAACCTACACCGTGGAAAGAGCTGGTGTTTGCAAGTTGTCCTCCGACCTGGACACACTTATTGTACATGTGCACACACAGTAAAATAAACTAAATAAATGGTGTGCACATCTTTAACCCCAGCACTCAGGAGGCAGGGGCAGGTGGGTCTCTGTGAGTCCCAGGCCAGCCTGGTCTACAGAGTGAGAACCAGACCAGCCACGGCTACATATACCCTGTCTCAAAAAATAAGAAGAAAATTGTACATTTAAAGAAGTATTTATGTTGTTACCGTAGAGGGGGAGTTCTGACCAATCTTTCACCTCTAGCTCTTTTGAGGATTATGAGAAAGTCTAACTAAATCATGGCTCCAGGGCTGGAGTATGAAGGCCCTGGGTTCCATTCCCAGCACTGAAAAAAATAATTTCTTAAGACAGTTATTTTTGGGTGGGAGGTGGAGTAGAACGGAAGTGAAGAGGTGACATTTGAGGGCAAGGTGGAGTGAACATTTGAATTGTTTTTAGATGCATTTAGTTGTGTGCAGTGCCGTTTAGCCTGTGTGTCTGCATGTGCGCTGTGTTCGTGCTTGGCACCCGCAGAGCCCTAGCTGGTCTGAAGCTGATATTTAGTCTATCTGTTAGGGTTGTGATTCCTTGTAATTTATATCGACTTCTCTGGAAATGGGAACCTTTTTATTTATGTTTTAACGATCGTTGTATCAGAATGAAGGTATAATTCTAAATACTTAGTGCTCTGTTTCCTTCTCTGTAGTTGAAGCAGCTGGAGGAAAGGCCTTGCCATGTGTTGTTGATGTGAGAGATGAACAGCAAATCAACAGTGCAGTGGAAAAAGCTGTCAAGAAATTCGGAGGTAGTCCCTTTATTCTGAAATAATTATTAAACATTGGTAAAAATATAGATGTAAGGAGCTCCAGTGGATGCCTGAAACCATGGATTGTCTGTGCTGTTTTTTTGTTTGTTTTATTAATTACACTTTATTCATTTTGTATCCCCCCCATAAGCCCCTCCCTTCTCCCCTCCCGATCCCACCCTCCCTCCCCTTTCTGCATGCATGCCACTCCCCAAGTCCACTGATAGGGGAGGTTCTCCTCTCCTTTCTGGTCTTAGTCTATCAGTTCTCATCAAAAGTGGCTGCATTGTCCTCTACTGTGGCCTGGTAAGGCTGCTCCCCCCTCAGGGGGAGGTGATCAAAGAGCAGGCCAATCAGATTATGTCAGAGGCAGTCCCTCTTCCCATTACTATGTAACCCACTTGGACACTGAACTGTCTGTGCTGTTTTTACCCTGTACCTGCATACCTCTGATAAATGGTACATAGACCAGACCCTTTTAGAGATAACAACACCAGGGAAATGGAGCAGTGAGAACGGTGTCGTACAGTGAAAGTTGTGTGACTGGAGTCTCTTCCTTTCTGCTGTAACCTGCAGTTTAGGGAACACTGAGGCAAACTGGTATATAGCCTGAGTTTCCTGTAACTTTTTCACAAGTCACAAACAGTTGTTCTCACCTTAGATGTAATTATCACCCTCTGCATACAGTTTTTTCACCGAAGTAGAGAACTTTTACCTTCTCACTGCAATTTTCATTTAATGCATATAACTGAAAACAAGATATATTTCATATACGTAGAAACTGGACAGAGTATGCAGAAATTGGGATTATTTTAGATTTGTGTGTGTGTGTGTGTGTGTGTGTGTGTGTATGTGAGTGTGTATTTCTGTGTGTGTCTGAGTCACTAAAGTCTTGTTTGGGATTTGAAACTCAAGGTCATTCTCTTTCCCAAGTTTCCAAGACGAGAAAGGAGCCCTTCCCTTTAAGAAAGGAGTTTTGTGGAGAGAGAGAGACTAGTATGCTTGGAAAGGTTGTGGGTCCTGGAGAGTATTAGAGGATTTGGCCCAAGGTTCCTGGAATCAGTGAGAGAAGGACTTAAGGATTGAAGCTACAGCTTGTAAGAACTAAGCCTCCTTGCAGTTTTCCAGAGAGCTCTGGTAACTGGCTCTATCTCCACTGTGCCAGTGAAAAATCAGAAGGTGCCATTTTGAAAGGGTGACTGGGTCTGGCATTTGTATAGGTCAGTTATATAGTCTTAAATGAGTATGTTATAGACCTATATGACTTTATATATGTATATATATATATGTATATGCGTGTATATTATGTATGCATGTATGTATTTATGAATCAGCTGAGGGATCAACCATAGAGAGGAAATGTTTTGTGTGTGAGAGAGATAAAGGAGAGAGGGAGAGAGATAAAGATAACAATTCTGACTTTCATTAAAGTGGAATGTTTCCTTTGGAAATAGGAATTGATATTTTGGTGAACAATGCCAGTGCTATTAGCTTGACCAATACATTGGATACTCCTACAAAGAGAGTGGACTTGATGATGAATGTGAACACCAGGGGCACCTATCTTACGTGAGTCACAAACAAGAGTGTGGGGATGTTGTGTTCTCAGAGAATGTACCTACATATAAACAGATGGGACCAAACAGTTTAAAATCTACTACTTATATTTACCTATCTAATTAAGCTAATGATATTAGTATTTGTTCTAGTTAGGGCCCTATTGCTGTGATGAAACACCATGACCAAAAGCAAGTTAGAGAGAGAAGCATTTATTTGGCTTACACTTCCACATGCTAGTCCATCATTGAAGGAAGTCAGTTCAGGAACTCAAACAGGACAAGAATGTGGAAGCCAGGAAGTGATGCAGAGGCCGTGGAGAGGTGCTGCTTGCTGGCTTGCTCAGTTGCTTTCTTCTAGAACCCAGACTACTAGCCCAGGGGTGGTACTACCCACAGCGTACTGGATTCTCCCTATCAATCACTAATTAAGAAAGTGCACCCCAGGTTTCCGTACGGCCTGATCCTGTGGAGGCATTTCCTTAACTCATCGTCCCTCCTCTCAGATGATGTTACCTTATGTTAAGTTGATACAAAACTGGCCAGTACAGTATAACTGTGGTGCTGGGAGTTTCAATGTTGATGTATGAGGCAGAGTTTGTTGTTATGAAAACTGGGATGTGGGATTTGTAATGTTGTTGGCCCTGCTTGTTAGCAGAGGCAAGGTTTGTCCAGTCAATCACAGGAAAACTGATATTTGCTATGTAAATGAGAGGAGCTCCTTCCTCTGAGTGCAAGGTTTGGTCTTATTGCTAGAATGGACTGAGGTGTTTTTTTGTTTGTTTTTGTTTTGTTTTTTCTAATGATTGAAGTACAGTTTCAGTTTTAATGAAAATCAGCTATAATATTGTTTGCCTGTCCTCCTTTTACCCTTGTGAAAGTGAAACAGTGTGGGCATGAAAAACAGTTTATACAAAAACTCTGTAGTGGTATTGATTGTATTGGTGTCTAAAGTTAAGAACATGCTAGAGTGATCAGGGGTGATGGCACAGGCCTTTAATCCTAGTACTTGGGAGGCTGAGACAGGTAGATCTCTGAGTTCAAGGCAGTCTGGTTTACAGAACAACCAGAGCCATGCAGAGAAACCTTATCTCAAGAAACTAAAAAGAAAAAAAAGTTGGAGTTGGTAACAGAGTTTTGTATTTAGAAATAATAACAACAACATTATAATAATGATGATAATAATAATGATGATGATGATGATAGTAAATTGACCTAAGAAGAATGGCTTAGTTCACAATCCTCTTTTTTTTAATTTCCGTGCTAGAGCTTGGACCTTATGCATTATGTCTTATGCATTGTAGGCAGATGCTTTACCACTGAACTATAGCCCCAACCTCAAGAATTTCTTCTGTTGTACTTTTGAGACAGGTCTCTGTATGCAGCTTAGGTTGGCTTGGAATTTGGCAATCCTCCTACCTCAGCCTTGTGAATGCTGGAATTAGTCATGCACTGCCACACTTGGTGCTCTTAGATGTCCTTGAGTGTGAAATAAACCTATAATTGAGCTACAATATGTTAATATGTTGTTTTGCCATATGATGTTATGACTTTAATACCTAAGATTGTGAAAATATTGGATATAGGTCTTGTGTAAAATAAAGAATGTGTTTTAACAAGCAGTTAAAAATAAAATTAGATTTGGGTGGTGGTGCGCACCTTTACCCCCAACACGTGGGAGGCAGAGGCAGGCGGGTCTCTGTGAGTTTGGGTCAGATTGGTTTACAGAGTGAGCTCCTGAACAGCTAGGGCAACACAGTTTTGAAAAAACAAACAATTAAGTAGCCCTCATGGGGGCACGTATGTATAATCTCAATACCCAGGAGGGAACTGCAGGAGAATTGCTCCGTGTTAGAGGCTAGACTGGGCTACATAGTGAATTTTAGGCCAACTTGACCTATGCAGTGAAACTCTGTCTCAAAAAGCAAAAAGATCTGGGGGTGGTGGCTCACGGCTCTAATCCCAGCACTTAGGGAGGCAGAAGCAGGTGGATCTCTGTGAGTTTGAGGCCAGCCTGGTCTACACAGTGAGTCCAGGACAGCCAAGGCTACACAGAGAAACCCTGTCTCAAAAACCAAAACAAACAAACAAAATAAACAAAACAAAAGCAAAAAGAAAAACAGTAATAAAAACCAAACCTCTAAATTATTTTACCAGTCCAAAGTTGGAAGAGACATGTGGCGCTACACGTGGCAGCGTTTTATCCCGTCTAGCATACACACTGTCTGAAGCATCTCGTTTGAGTCTGTGGTTCAGTCCTACATGGCAGTTGTTACCTTAGAGTGACAATTCTGAGAACTAGAAAGCTGAATGACCCAGTGACATACAGTGGGCAGAAGCAGGATTTAAACCTATGATTGTCTGATAAGTGTATTAACTGAGTCTGAAGATTCTGAGTGTGTGTTGAGGTGGGAGAATATGAGACAGTAATGGTTGAAAATACATCCTCAGTTGAGTGTAAAGCTAATATAGAAAAGGATTTAATTTTTTTCCACCAAGCAGATCGTGTGGTCAGGGCATGAAGCATGATCTCAAAGCATGAAAATCAGTTTCTTTCATTATCTTCATTCTAGAAAAAAAAACAAAAGTAGTCTACAAACAAGCTGTACCAAACAGATCATGGAGCAAATACAGTTGCTCCATGGAAGTACTTTAAAATGTAAGCTATTAGTCTGACTTCTGTTTTCTTCCATTTTCAGATCCAAAGCATGTATTCCTTTTTTAAAAAAGAGCAAGATAGCTCATATTCTCAATCTCAGCCCACCCCTGAACCTAAATCCACTGTGGTTCAAGCAGCACTGTGGTAAGTGTTAACTGAGAGCATAGGTTGTTTGACTAATTTGTTTTGAATTCATCAGTGTAGTTATTATATAATCACAATCAGGATGTGCTAATTAATATTGAATGTTCTGTTATGCCAGTGATCCAGAAAATAAATTCTTAATCATTTATCTGTAATGCAAAATTTTGAAGTTGCGCTTGATATAATTCACAGATCTTAGTGAATTTTGGCAAATATGTATACCTATGTAACTGTTACTCAAGTTATGATATGAATTTCCACCATCTTTCATGTCTCAGTAGGTGTGCTATTTGCATGTTCACTAATAAAGTTAGTTGAAAATAGCTATGAAATAACCTTACTTTTCAAAACAAAGGAATGATGTAAGACAAATGTAGGTAGCTAGAGCTATGTGCTCTACCTCCCTTAAAGTCGTAGCAGATGCTTAGCTCTTAGGCTAATTCACTCACATTTAGGAAGGCCCTGAGACTGAAAGTTGTGCTCTAGTTGATGAGGTTAAGTGAATTGGAAGCCTTTATTTTTTAAATTATATGTGTGTGTCTCTGTGTGGGTAAGTGCCTGTGAGTTCAGGTGCCCTCAATGGCCAGAGGTGTCAGATCCCCTGGAGCCGGAGTGACAGGCAGTTGTGTGCCTAGCAATCAAACTCAGGTTCTCGGTGAGAATGGTATGCACGTAACTGCTGAACCCTCTAGTGCCTGGTACTTTTATTTTGTGGTGCTGGAATTGAAATTCAGGTCTCACAAATGCTAAGCACTTATTCTACCACTGAGCCACACCATACCTGTGGTGTTGATTTGTGAGTGAAACTTCCTCTGTAAATAATCGAGCCCATTCTTTGCTTGTTTGTTTGCTTGCTTTGTTTTTGAGACAGGTTCTCACCATGTAGTTCTGGCTGTCCTGGAACTCACTATGTAGACCAGGCTAGCCTTAAACTCACAGAGATCCACCTGCCTCTGCCTCCCAAGTCCTGTGCCCAGAACACCCATTTTTTTAAACAGTTATGGGTGGAAGCATATGGCAGTATCCCAGCACATAGGAGACTGAGGCAGGAGCACTGGCAATTGAGTAGCACTAAGATACATAGTGAGGTACTATCTCGAAAAAGAAACAAGAAAAGAAAAAGAAAACATTAATATAATGAAATATTAGGATGGAAATAAGACACCTCTGATCAATTACTTTTTTAAAAACAATTGTTTTAAGACAGAACATTTAGGGTTAAAAGCATTATCTGCTCTTGCAGAAGACTCAAGTTTAGTTCCTAGCACTCACATCAGGCAGCTCACAACTGCCTGTAACACCAGCCCAGGGACATCTGAAGCTTTAGTATCCCCAGGCACTTAGTGGGGCACACATGTGTGCCCGCATGCGTATGCATGTGCTCACACACACACACACACACACACACACACACACACACACACACACAGATGTATTCATAACTAACCATAATAGCACCATAATAGCGTCCTTAAAACAAACAAACAAACAAACAAACAACTCCTAGCATATTTGCTCAGACGTTGTGAACTATAATCCCAGTGCTTGGGAGGCTGAGGCAGGAGAATCAGGAGTTCATAACCATTCTTTTCTACGTAGAGAATTATCATGTATATTCTGTATTGTGAAAATAATTGTCAAAACTATCAGGGAGAAAAGAGTGACAGAAAACCGGTTGTTTCTACTCAAAAATTAGTTTCTCAACTTTGTTTGTGGTTTCTTTCAGCTTATACCATTGCCAAATATGGCATGTCTATGTGTGTGCTTGGAATGGCAGAAGAATTTAGAGGTGAAGTTGCAGTCAATGCCTTATGGCCTAGAACAGGTTTGTACTTAGAAGAAACCGCTTAATTAGATCTGCATCCTTCTTCCACACCATGCGCAAACCCAGTGTCTCGATAACCTTAAGGGAGCACTCCCCAGTGAGCTAACTCTGCAGCCCTCTTACTGACATCCTGTGAAACAGCTCAGGTCACCTGAATCTTTTGGGAAATAAGGTCAGCTGTTTACTGTGGAGCATAAACAGTCTTGCCGTCCATCCTCCAGCCTTGACATCATTGCAGCAGCTATGATGGGAGCGTGGCGCTAGAACAGGAGAGTCTCATGAAAGCCAACGGAAGTGTTTTCAGCAAGTTCTTCTCAACTGTTGAGATTGAAAGGCTTATTGAAGAAGTGGTAGTTGCAGGTAGGCATGTGAGCATGCCTATAGTCCCAGCTACTCCGCAGGCTGAGGCAGAAGGGTCATTCAAGCACAGGAGTTGATGGGCAGTATGCCAAAAGGTAAAAATACTTGTAAAATTAAAGCAAAATTAGGAAAATAGTGTGTCTCTGCCACTGAAGAGAGGTTTTAACACTTATTTATTTATATTTTATTTATTTTTATTTTACTTTTCGAGATAGTCTCTCTATTATGTAGCCCTGGCTTTCCTAGAACTCGTTCTGAAGACCAGTCTGGCCTCAAACTCACACAGATCCACCTCCCTCCCTCTCTGAGTACCGGATTAAAAGGGTGTGCCACCACACTTGGCCAGGCTTTAACCTCTAATAAAGTAAAAAGGTTTCGGGTTTTTTGAGAATGTGTCTTTTTTAAAATATTTATTTATTTACTTTACATCCCAATCATAGCCCCCTCCCTCCTCTCCTTCCGGTCCCACCCTCCTTCCGTCTCCCCCATATCCTCCTCCCCTCCACCTCAGAAAAGGGGAGCCCCCCATCTCCCCCTTCTTGCACATCAAGTTGTATCAGGACTGAGCTCAGTATCCTTCCCACCCCTGGGGGACGGGATTGAAAAGCATACAAGAAAGACCTTGTCAGAGACAGCCTCCACTCCTCTTGTTAGGGGACCCACAGGAAGACGAATCTGAGCATCATGTACATATGTGGAGAGGGCCTAGTTCCAGTCAATACATGGTCCTCGGTTGGTGTTTCAGTCTCCACAAGCCCCTTAGGCCCAAATCAGATCCCCACCCTCATTTTCCTCAGCACTCCCTTCCCATTCTGTTCCCTCTCTTCGAGCACTTCTTCTGTCTTTTCTATTTTTCCTTCTCAGTGAGATTCAGACATCCTCCCTTGGACCCTCCTTATTAATTAGTTTCTTTGGGTCTGTGAATTGTAGTAGAGTTACGCTGAGAATGTGGTTTTTGAGCATAGATTTGGAAGTGATTGGAGTTAGTCTTCTTGCCAAGAGAAAAGTGTTCAAAGATGCAGCCAGTGCGAAGACCCTATGGATGGAAATGCCTGGTATCAGGATCCAAGAACAGGAAGGAAGACCATTGTAGCTGAAGTGAGGTTCTGATATCAGTGAGGAAGTAGAGGCCAGACTGGGGACTTAACTGTGTGAAATGAGTGTTGAACCTGGATTCTGAAGAAGCAATAGGGAAAGCCATTTAGAGGTTACTGAAGTAACAGTCACCGGTGCTGGTGGCCGTGGCGGGCCTGTAGCAGTGAAGGTGCTGGTGGGAAGGCCTGCTGGTGGGTTTAGTGGGGCATGAGAGAGCTAGGAAATCGTCAGTGAAGACTGCAGGACTTCTGGCCGGAGTAACCCGAACATGGGTTACACCACTGAGATGAAGAAAGCTTGACATGGAGCAAGGTGGAGAGCAAGATTAGAACTTAACTAGAGACATCATGTTGGAGCATCCAGGTGGAGACTGATGGTAGGCAGCTGAGCCTCTGAGTCTGAAGGCTAGCTCGAAGCGTGTGTGGGTTATCAGCCATGAATGATAATGTAGTCTCAAGATTAGGTGACATCTAAGAAGTAGAGAAAGGACTATTTTCATTGTAACATGAACGATTTAAAAGAAGGACCCCACAGGTAAGGTGGGATGAAGTATGACGTCTTGAAGGCAGGCCACTTGCAGGAAGTGTAATAAGAGGAAGTGTAATAAGAGGAAGTGATCAATTGTATCAGTGTTGCTGATAATTTTTAAAAGATTACAATTCGCCATTAGTTTTGATAATCTGTACATCTCCTTTATGTCACTTAAACATTTATAATTTAATGTTAGTTTATAAAAGCCTTCCTTACTAGAATGAAAACTTGAGGAAGACGCTGTCTTCTGAGTCCATCTTACTGTAGTCATTGCAGGTTTCAGTGAATATTTTTAAAAGATTTATTTATGTATTTTATGTATATGGGTATTTTATCAAAGACAAGCTTCAACATCAACAGGGGAAACTGAGGCAGGGCATAGATCCAGTGGCTGGCTGTTCACCCAGCAGACTTTCTCTGAAGGTAAAAGGCTGAATTCACTGGGCTGGAACTGATTGTCATTAACAGGGCTTCCACTGATAGTGATAATGGAGGGGCCAGAATTAATTATTGCTGGCAGTGGGCTAGGGCTGGTGGTAGGTTAGGGCCGGTGGCTATCTAGCAGGGGCCTTCCACTGGTAGTGGCAAGCAGGGGCTAGAACTAGTAGTTCTTAGCAGGGGCTTGCATTGGTGATGGCAAGCCTCTAAAAAGAAAGGAGAGAAAAAGACCACACACACCACACACACACACACACACACCATGAGGAAGTAAGACAGACTGCAGCAGGTAGGTTCCAACAAGTTTCTTCTTAACTTCACACATACAGATACATACGTACGTATGTATGTCCGTGCATACATGCATACACATTCACACAGTGAGTGCATGGAGCAAACTCCAAACAGCAAGTTGCAGCCCAAGCTGCTATTGCACATATTCACACATATTCATTTGGTGGATGGATAAACTCCGAAGATGAGCTCCAACAACATTTATTGTTTCTCCCACAGCATTTACTTCTCTCCAGCCAGATCAATCAAGCACTATAAAATCACAATGTGGTTACTTTCTGTTTTTCTTCAAGTGAATGATTACAATGAAAAGAAACATGTTCCCCAACACCCTTACCATAATCAAATGTTTTACATATTATAGATGAGAAACAAACACTAAAAACAAATTATTCCCAAGAACCCATATACCTTTCTTTTCTTTTTTTTCTTACTTATTTATTTATTTTATTTGCCTTTACTTATTTATTTATTTATATTTATTTATTCATTCATTCATTCATTTATTTATTTATAGGCGGCATTTCTCTGTGTAGCCTTTTCTGTCTTGGACTCACTTTGTAGACCAGCTTGGCCTCTAACTTACAGCTATCTGCCTGCCTCTGCCTCCCTAAATGCTGGGATTACAGGTGTGTGCCACAGAGCATGGCTCCCATATACATTTGTAACTAAGCAACTTGTTATATATTAACAAAATGTGAGCAAGCAAGGTAATTTCACAGTCAGCTTTTCTTTACCAGCAGGCTGCAATTTACCATTTCTACTTTAAATCTTTAAGGTGTGCACCTACTCATTAATAATTTTTATTAAATCATATCAGGAAGCTAAGGCAGAAGTTAGTATAAGAAATTAATCACCTTGAAGCCAGCTTCAGTAAATCATGTCAGCTAGTGTTAATTGAGGTATTGTTCTTGCTCACCAACCTCAAGAAGTCCCTAGCTCAACTATTAAGAGAGTACTTTTGTTAACTTCAAATTGTTCCCTGAGATGTTCTACATTAGAGCCATTAGCAAAAACATCTTTACCTGACCTTGCCAAACAATCTATTTTTCCAAATTCTTTCTAAGGGTAGTGTTGGTGGCTAACAATGTACATCTCTAGGTTCTTTTCAAGGGTGGTGGTTTGAATCATTATCTGCTCCAGCAGCAATGCTTAAAAGAGATTACGCATTGTTGTGAGTGCCGGCGAGGCTGCCCCATGAGGGGCTGGAAGCCCCCTTAGAGTTCTCTTACAACTCACGTATTATGAGGGAGGTGGTGCCCACAAGGGCAGCAAGCAGAGCTATGCTCCATAACAGCATGACGTCCTCAGGACACTCAGTCCTCGGGGTTCTGCCACTGTGAGACAAACCCAGTGTGGTTGTGCTAAGCAGTGGGCTACATTCAATGACTTCTAGAGCAGTTTTCTGTTCCTCCTGCACACCCCTGACAATATTTTGTCTTGCATATACATCTGCACACCAGAAGAGGGCATAGGATCCCACAAAATTACAGTTAATAGACATTTGTCCAGTGCCAGGTGTGTGCTGGGAACTGAACTCAGGACCTCTGGAAGAGTAGGCAGTGCTCTTAACCATTGAGCTATCTCTCTGGTCCCAGATTTCAGTGACTGTTGTAAGTGTTGAGTGACTGTGCAGTACGCCTGCCTTCTACTAGCCCTGGACTAGACATTTTGCACAAGCTTATGTAATAGGTAGCCTGTGCTGGATGGAGGGTGCTATCAGGATTGACAGGATTTACTGAGGCTTTTGCTTTGGCTCTGAGGTTTTTATTTTAGATGTTTTACTAGCTACTTTGGAGCCAGTGGTATCATTAGGCCCTAGACATGATAACACATGTTGAATTTACAGTTGTGTTCTTTGTGATGCACTGTATGAGGAATTACATAGAATGTTTCGGAATCCCAACAGGAGGGCCATGCAGCCATGTTAAAGAGTTAAGAAGGAGTTTCAAATGGAGATATAAACTGAAATCTGATCGCCAGGGGATGTTGGGGTTAGCAGGAAGCAAACTGGGCAAGACATTCATGGCCAGCAGGGACAACAGGCATTCGCACACAGTGCGGGAGCCTGTGTGTAGTGGATGCCAGGAGTCTGAGGAGGTGGGCTGTGGTGGGTTGTTGGCTGTCACTTCCCACTTCATCTGAGCTGCTCAGTACCTCAGGTTCACTGGGATGTTGGGGGAGGGAGCCTGCATGGGTCAACTCAGACTTTGGTCTTTTTGCCAATTTAAGCTGCTGGAGTTTTTTTCTTTCTCATTTTTTGGTGCGGAGGTTTAAACACTGGCCTTACACACACTAGGCAAGCACTCTCCTAGACTTGTAGAGTTCCTTCTCTGACTCAGCAGCCTGAGTTTCAAGCCATATTCAGTAGAGAGCTATTGGGAAGATTTTGAAAAGAAGAGAGAGATAATAAGCAGAGGGGGAAGTCGGAGCAATGAAGCTATACAGTGTTTGTGTAGATATTTAATCTGACATGGTGGGTAATTTATAAAGAGAAGGGGGGAACATTAGCTAGACTGCTGCATTATTCATGAGTGAGGGGAAGTGAACGTAGATCCAAGAGCCCTAGGCAGGGTTGGGGTTGCATTTCCTCCTGAGTAAAGACTGTGTAAGTCTAACCAGGAGTAACCTCCATCTGTGAATTATTCCCTCTGTGGCTCCCTTTCAAAGAACAACAGCTTGGTCCTACTTAGTCGACTGGCTACCAGGGAACATGGTATTGTAATAGAGCTGCCCGCTTGCCTTGTCTGGACTCTGTTGCTTCCCACACTGATGGCGTGCTCCCTGGGCTTTAGTACCTTGCCTCTGATGGATTCAACATGGACAGAGAAGGGGCTGGGGGCAGGGAGGGGGTTTTTTTGTTTGTTTTTGTTTTTGTTTTTTTTTTTTTCTCTCTTACAGGGCCTTTTCATGGTTTCTGCTGAGTAGAGAGAATTAGTGACTGCCTCTTAACTCTTGGCTAGTTTAGACTGGTGTGGTGGGAACAGGAATGTCCACTGGAGAGTGGATTTTATGCATGCAGGGATGAGGCTGTTGGGACCATGTAGCTACTGATTTGGTAATGGCAGCAGAGAGGAGGGTCACCTCCAGCCTTGTCATTGTGTTAGACTGTTTCTAATGCAGAAAGCAGAAACAAAAACATTGGAAAGGGAGTTTCATATTTTATTTTTTTGGCTACATAGGGTTTCTTTTGTGTAGCCTTGGCTGTCCTGGACTCACTTTATAGGTCAGGCTAGCCTGAAACTCACAGTGATCCATCTGCCTCTGCCTCCCTGAATGCTGGGATAAAAGGTGTGCACCACACCCGGCTGGGAGTTTCATATTTTAGAGACAGAAAGCTGAGGCCCAAAGGTATTGAAGTAGCCAGCAGTCATGACCCGATGGGTTTTAAAGTCCACTTACTACCTTTTAGCTCAGTGCCCTTTTTGTTAGCCTTACTGGCTTTTTAAACTCTCAAGATTGCTGTACAAATTCTTGAATATTTAAACTCATTCAGCAGGGCAAATTCAATAGACATCGGAAGCAGGAGAAGACAGGGAACAGGACAGGAGCCTACCACAGGGTACCTCTGAAAGACTACTGATTGATGTATCGAAGCAGATGCTGAGACTCATAGCCAAACTTTGGGCAAACTGCAGGGAATCTTATGAAAGAAGGGGGAGATAGAAAGACCTGGAGGGGACAGGAGCTCCACAAGGAGACCAAAAGAGCCCCTGCTCAGATGTAGCCTGTAAACTCAGTCTCCAAATGGGGTTCCTAGTAAGGGGAACAGGGGCTGTCTCTGATATGAACTCAGAGGCAGGCTTTCTGATCACTTCCCCTGGGGGATGGGGAGAGCATCCTTGCCAGGCCACAAAGGAAGACAATGCAGCCAGTCCTCACGAGACCTGATAGGCTAGAGTCAGATAGAAGGGGAGGAGGACTCCCCTATCAGTAGACTAGGGGAGGGGCATAGGAGAAGTGTGAGGGATTGGGAGGAGACAAAGGAGGGGGCCACGGCTGGGATACAAAAGTAAATAAATTGTAATAATAAATAAATAGATAGATAAATAAATATAAATAAATAAATGAAAAGAAACAGAAGAACTTTTAAAAATCAGGTTTACATTAAAGCCATAAGATAGTTAAACTCAACTGCCTGGTCAGACAGGATAGACACCAGAAGCAGTAAAAGAGAGGGAACAGGATGGGAGCTTACTATAGAGGGTCCTCTGAAAGGCTCCACCCAACAAGTCATCGAAGCAGATGCTGAGACTCACTGCCAAACTTTGGGCAGAGCACAGGGAGTCATATGGAAGAAGAAGTGGGGATAGAAGGATGTGGAGGGGACGGGAGCCCCCAAGGAGACTAACAAAGCTAAAAAATCTGAGCCCAGGTGGTCCTGCAGAGACTGATGTATCAACCAAAGACCATGCATGGAGAGGACCTAGACTTCCTGCTCAGATGTAGCTGATTGGAAACTCAGTCTCTATGTGGGTATCCGAGTGAGGGGAGCAGGGGCTGCCTCTGTCATGAACTCGATTGCCTGCTCTTTAATCACTTGCCCATAGCAATGTGGTCTTGCCAGGCCACAGAAGAAGAGGATCCAGGCAGCCCTGGTGAGACTTGATAAGCTATGGGCAGATGACAGAGAAGGAGAACTCCCCGCTTCAGTGGATTAGGGGAAGAGGATGGGGGGAAGTAGGAGGGAGGATGGGACTGGGGGAGTTGAGGAAGGGGCTTCAATTGGGATATATAATGAATAAAGTGTGAAAAAGGTAAAAATTAAAATTAAAAAATAAATAAAATAAAAAATCAGAAGTCAGAGGAGGTGCTTCTCCTGAAGGACTTCTGCAAGTGCGGTCTGTGCTGAGTAAGAGCCGTATTTGCCTCCTTGTCGCCTGTCCCACCCCAACTCTGTCTCTGGAACATTTATTGAGTTTCTTGACCTTACTTTTTCATCACCTGAGAAAGAAATTGACCTTGGTAGTTTTGAACAGTGGTTGTCTGTTGTTATTTCCATAGTCTTACAAGTCTTGTGTGTGTGTGTTCTCCACAGCCATACACACTGCTGCTATGGATATGCTGGGAGGAACTGGTATTGAAAGCCAATGTAGGAAAGTTGACATCATCGCGGATGCTGCATATTCCATTTTCAAAAGGCCAAAAAGTTTTACTGGCAACTTTATCATTGATGAAAATATCTTAAAAGAAGAAGGAATAAAAGATTTTGATGTATATGCAATTACACCAGGTAATACTTATAGGTATTGAAAGTGTTAATGTTTTTCCATATTTTATGCAATGTTTTATGTGTGTTTGTGACATTATAAAGTGAGTATATTCTTTTGCAAGTTATTTTCCATTGAAGGAAAAACCTCACACCATCTCTACCTTAAAAAAGTCAAAAACAAACAGAAGTGAAATTAGGGCTTTTGAAATTACATGATGATGTAGAACTTTTAAAAGTTCAGTTTCTTCTGGGTGTGGTAGTGCACGCCTGTAATCCCAGCACTGGGGAAGACAGAGACAGGTTGATCTCTGTGAGTTCGAGGCCAGCCTGGTCTACAGAGTGAGTCCAGGAAAGCTAAGGCTACACAGAAAAACCCTGTCTCAAAACAAACAAACAATAAAAAAGTTACTCCTAGAAATCAGAGTGAAGATTTTATTTAGATGCATGACAGATGATACAGGAGTAGAGTTCTTTATTTTGTTTTTAATTAAAGAAACTATTTTTTAAGACTTATGCATATGAATGCTCTATTTGCATGTATACTGGCATGACAGAAGAGGGCATCAGACAGCAAGAGAGCATCAGATCCCATTATAGATGGTTATGAGCAACTATGTGGTTGCTGGGATTTGAACTCAGGACCTCTGGAAAAGCAGCCAGTACTCTTAACCACTGAGCCATCTTTCCAGTACCCTCTCCCCTTTTTGGTTTTTCAAGACAGGGTCTGTCTGTAGCCCTGGCTGTCCTGGACTCGCTCTATAGACCCAGCTGGCCTCTAACTCAGAGATCCGCCTGTCTTTGCCTCCCGAGTGCTGGGATATTTATACATATATGTGCCACCATTGCCCAACTGAAATGTTTGTTTTCTTAAGAACAATCTTTTAGACTATGAAGATGAATAAGCAGGTCTGTCTTATAAATAGTGGTCTGATTTGAGAATTTCCAGAACTCTCCACCGTCCACTGTTTAAAAATAATTTCCTTTGAAATTATAGATGACTGTGGTAATGGTTTTTTTTCTTATATATAATATATTTACACTAAGCAGGGTGCAGTGGTCTCCGCTACAATCCCAGCTACTTAGGAGGGTGGGAGGGTGGTATGAGCCCAGGAGTATAGATCCACCCTGAGCAACATAGACCTTTCTCTAAAAAAATAAACAAAGATATATTCTAAATAGAAAATTTAGCTAAAACCTGGGAATTCTGTTTGCACATAAATGTGTTTTAAGTGTTACTCATGAACCTAAGCTTGTAGATGAGCAAACTACATGTTTGTTTGGCTTATTCCCTCAGTTCCAATTGAATAGCTCCTGTCGTTTTACAGATCGTCTCTACATGTGCTATCTGGGTAACCTCTGAGGGAAGCAGCTGTGACTGGGGCTGGAGCAATGGCTCAGCCACTGAGAATGCTTGTTGCCAGGGGACAGCAGCCGAGTTAATGTGCACTCAGGTGCATGTGCGTAGCATGTGTGCATGCATGCACACACGCGCACACACACACACACACACACACGCACACACGCACACATGCACACACGCACACACGCACACACACAAAATGAAAATAAATCTAGCTGGGTGTAGTGGCACTTGCCTTTAATCTCAGCAATTCAGGGAGACAGAATGGGGCAGACCTCTGTGATTTTAAGGCCAGCCCGATCTACAAGACAAGCTCCAGGCCAGCCAAGGCTACATAGTAAGACCCTATCTGAAAAAAAATTAAAAATGTAAAATAAATCTAGAAAGCATTTGGCAGGGCAGCTCAGACTGAGTGCAACCCTGCTTCTTAGCCGCTTAGTGGTGCTGAGCGTGTCACCTGCTTTCTCTGAGTCCCACTCTCCTTATTAAAAGTGAGAAAATAATTTTTCTGTAGAGGCTTTTAGAACTATTTGCAAAATGTACACAGTTCTTGGCAGAGTACTTGGCCTGTGCAGGGTTCAGCAGTTAATATTTGCAAGTAGTAAAACAGGTTCGAAGCTACTCTAGCACTTTGCCTGTGGGCGGATGGATAATATGTGGGAGGAGCTGAATGAGATGCACTTAGATCCTCTGGATTTGGAAAACTGTAAGTATTCCTATTAGGGCTTTTGTGTCAGTGGGTATTGTTCTGGGGACGCACCAATAGACTTTGCACATTCCAGCAAGTACACTCTTACCTTATATTTCTAGCCTTAGCTTCTGAGTGAGGGCCTCACCATGTAGTTCAGGTTGGTGAACTCACGACCCCGTCTCTGCTTCCTTAGCTCTGGATGACAGGTGTGTACCACCACCACCTGGCTCATTTTAGGTTTTTAAGACATGATGTTACTATATAGAGATTGTAAAAGTTGTGTCCTGCAATCTTAGGACTTGGGGGTGGAAGGAGGAGGAACACAGGTTGAGGCCAGCTTCAGCTGTATAGCAAGATCCTGTCTCCTTCCCGCAAAATCATGCCAAGTATCAAGAACTACATAGATGAAGTACTGTGGTTTTAGGATATAACAAAAATGAGGTTACTCTTGCCCTAGGTGGGGGAGGGGAAGCCTACAATTTTGAAGGGTCTGTGACCCTTAGATCCTTTCATGTACATGTCTTATAGTTGTCAGATTATATTAAGATAATACTTAGATAGATAACTTATTTTCTATCCACAACTGTTAATTGATAAAAAGGCTCAGTGAAAGAAAATAACTTAGTGGGGCTGGAGAGATGGCTCAAAGGTTAAGAGCATTGTCTGCTCTTCCAGAGGTCCTGAGTTCAATTCCCAGCAACCACATGGTGGTTCACAACCATCTATACTAAGATCTGGTGCCCTCTTCTGTCATGCAGATGTACATGCAAATAGAGCACTCATATGTGGAATAAAGAAATAAACCTTTAAAAAGAAAAGAAGAGAAAATAACTTAGCTTTAGTTTTCATGATGGCAGAAAGAAATGAAGAGAGAAAAGATCCAAATACATGTATGCTAAGAAGTAAGACCTTAATTACTCTCCCCTGCTCTCAAGGGCTGGTCAAGTAAGAAATTAAATGTTGAGCACATTGGAGGGAGGTGGGATGAAAGGGTTATAAGGATAATAAGGACTCAGGCTCCTGGATTAGTCAGAAGGCCAGTGAACAATTATGGCAGACAGAGGGGGTTTTTTTTGTTTTTTTTTTTGTTTTTTTTAAAAAGAAGCCAGGTGTGGTGGTGCATGCCTTTAATCCCAGTACTCAGGAGGCAAAGGCAGGCAGATATCTGTGAGTTCAAAGCCTGCCTGGTCTGCATAGTGAGTTCCAGGATAGACAGGGCTCTGTAGAATAACCCTGTCTCAAAAAAAAAAAAAAATAATCAAAATAATAATAACAACAACAACATATAAATAATGAATTAAACATGGTGTTTTCATATATAGTTTGTTCTTAGTGATCTTCTTGTTCCACTTTCCCCATCTCCCTGTACTGTACTAAAATTCATAAAGAAGCACAAAAGACCCCAGGTAGCCACATCCACACTCTGCACAACAATGCTGGTGGTATCACAACACTTGACATAAAACTATACTACAGAGAAGTAGTAACAAAGATATGGTTCTGGCACAAAAGCTGACATGCAGGCCAGTAGAATAAAATTGAAGATCTGGAGATATACCCACATAGCTGCAGTCACCTAATTTTTGACAAAGGTTTTAAAAATTAGGAGCGGGTAAAGGCAGCCTCTTCAACAAATGGTGCTTAGAAAATAAAAAGAACTGTAAAAATTAAACACCCCCTCAATAAATGGGTTAATGAATTGAATGGACAGTTCGATAAAAGCAAAGACAGGTTAGTTTGAACACATCAGATCTCCAGCCAGGAGAGTGGTACATGTCTTTAATTCCAGCACTTAGGAGGCAGTGAGTTCAAGGACAGCATGGTCTACACAAGTGCAATTATGTCTCAGAAAACAAAAAGAAAAGAAATAGAAAGCAGACCTTCAGGGGTCTAGGGAAATGATTGAACATGGAAAATGCCTGCTGCGCAATGGTGATGATTTGAGTTTGGATACCTAGTCTCTGTGTAAAAAGCTGAGTATATTTTGTGCAATTCTAATCCCAGAGCTGGGTCGTCACGGTAATTGAATCAGTGAGAGACTCTGTAAAAGTAGTGGAGCATGACAGAGGAAGACACTTGGTGCCGACTCCTGGCCTCCGCAAACACGCAGGTACAGGGTGTGCACAGCTACACGTGCGCACACAGTGCGTATGTGTCCGCACACACAAGCAGGCACCCGGCCATTCTTACCTGTGCTTGTAACACCAGTGCTTGGGAGGCCGGAGCAGGGCTGCTGCAAGCTTGCTCCTCTCTACAGGGAGTTCTCGGCTAGCCAGAACTGGCAAGGCTTTGTCAGAAAACAAAATGAAACAAAAAATTAGGTCTTAAGAGGAAATTTTTCATAAGAGAAGAGGATAACTACTGAGTTACTGGGAAAAAATGAATAAATTAGATCAAATAGTTCAATATTTGTCTAGGGGCTCTTTCTATAGTCAAGGATTTTTTTAAAGATGAATTTTATTAAAAAGTTTTAAAATCTTAATATAGTATAATAATTACTATATAATTATTCTAACTTGATTATATGGGGGTTCATTTTTCAGGCCATCCCTTGTTACCAGATTTCTTCTTAGATGACCACCCAGATACCTATATAAAGGAAAACGAATCACCTGGTAAGATTCTAGAGCACATTTTATTTTATTTTATTTTTTGCTTTGCCTGCATGTATATCTGTACAGCAACTATAAGCATACCTGGTGCTGCGGAGGCCAGGAGACAGTGCGAGATTCCCAAGTGGACTGGAGTTAGAGATGGGTGTGAGCTGCCGCATAAAGGCTGGAAATTGAACTGGGGCCGTCTGGAAAAGTAGCCAGTGTTCTTAACTGCACCAAGATTCTAGAGCATATTCTGTGTACGTATGTATGAATGTGTATATGAATGTACGTGGTCTCACTGTGTAACCTTGGCTGGTCTCAAACTTCTAGAGATCCACCTGTCTGTGTCTTCCAAATGCTGGGATTAAAGGTGTGTATAACATGTCTGGGTAAATCATATTTTAAATAGGAAACTACAATCACTAACTTACTTTTTCTTATAAAATATAGAATTGCTGTTGTAACAATGATATTTTTCCCTCTGCCTCTAATATGGTGGTTCCCATGGGTCCTTCCTAGTGGTGCAGCCTATTAATACAGTTCCTCATATTGTGGTGAACCACAGCTATAAAATTATTTTGTTGCTACCTCATAACTGTAATTTTGCTAATGTTATGAATTGTAATGTAAATATCCGATATGACAGACATCTGATATGCAACCCCTGGGAAAGGTTGTTGACCCCAGAGGGGTCTTGACCAACAGGTTGAGAACCATTGCTCTAAACCATTCTGTAACTAAAGAACACATTATATACAATTCTCAGTTAACCCTAGAAAAAGGATATTTTGTGTTGTTTTTGCAGCTGTCCCAAGTTTTATTTCTTTTCCTTGACAGCTGTCTTTAAATATTTTATGTTGATATTTGGAGAAAAATGTGTCATGTTGAAGTATATCTAACACAATTTTTAATTTGTACTATTGTCTGTGAAGGGAGTTAATTTCAAAGGAGGTTTTGGGCATACCTTTTTTTTTTTAATCTTTGTGATCTATTTAGCATACCATCTGTGGTTTACTGAAACACAAGAAACATTTTGTAATAAAAGTTTTTAAGAACAAATTTTCTCTGTGCCTTTGATATCTGTAGAATCCTGATGCATTTACAGCCAAACTTTATTTCCAGATTAGTTCTATCTTTTATGTGTCTGTGCATTATCTAAATTTTTGAAGAAGTTTTAAAAAAATTAGATAATAAAAGGACATTTTTTACTACAATAAAAAAATAAGAGCCATAGAAAAGAAAAGTAGTGAGGCCTACAACACAGAGAATGCTGGTTTAAAAGTTAGATCTTTAATTCACCAGGAGAGAAAAACCAAGGAAACAAGATATCAGTTTTTTTCTGAAAAGGCTTCTTACAGAATGGTAGGAACCAGACCCTTAAACCCTTGAGTCTGGCCTTCAAGGCAAGAGGCCTCAGGTCCTGTTTTTTGCCCAAACCCCTAAAATTGGATTTATCTTTTGAAAGGAGACACATGGATTGAATTTGTCTAAGTTCCCAATTTCAAACAAGAACCGTTTAGTTGGTCATCTTCTCCATTACGTGTGGCCTATGTGTGAATGCTGTAGCCACTTGTTCGTGTGCATTGTTTAATACTGAAGACTGTACTGGAGCTGCAGAGCCAACAGCAGGTGGCAGAACCAGGATGTAGATTCTTGTTTCTCTGTTTCCAAAGTCTGTGCTTTTGTTGTTGTTGTTTTGTTTGTTTTGTTGACACAGGGTTTCTCTCCAAAGCCTGTGGCTTTAACCAGTTACATAGCTGGTATTCCTAAAGCCTGAATTCTTAAAAGTCCCCAGTAGTGCCAAATATTAATTTATAAGGAGCAGTTGCCACCTCAGGGACTAAACGTGTAATTGCTATGTTCAGCACATTCTCTCCCTTTGGGCATAATTAACGAGGAACAGTATCATCATGAAGAGGGCATTTGTGATTGTGCAGTCAGAAGAAGAGGGGTTAAAAGAGTGAAATGTCAGCCACTGACCTTAGGCTTTGATGGGTAGATTTGTCTTGATGAACTTTCATTACAGAAATGCTCTACTTCTCACCTTTGAGGTCAGATGCTCCTTCTCTTTGTCAGCCTTCTCCATATAGTGCTAATGCTAGAGACAACATTATGTTCCATAGTTCTTTTCACCTTTCTTATGTCATCACTAGCAGTTATAATCAGCATTTCCTGTCAGCATAGTTGAGTGCTTACACAGACAGGGGCTAGTATATCTGGTCTGGGGTTCAACTTACCTTTGCCAGATGGCTTTTCATATGTGTATCCAGATACATTGCATTTTTACTGTATATTTTAATGCAAAAGGCTTGGTGTGGAGCCCTCATTTTCCTTGTGAGAGGTTCACATTGCTTTCGAATCCACTGCTGATGGCAGCCCCTGTCGATAGTTGGCTGTACCTTTTCTGGAATTAGTTCTCCATGTGCACATGCATGCACACACACGCACTCACACACATCATTTTGTTGTTCATTCCTTATCTCTGCTCCCTGCTGGAACACAGAGAGCCTACTTAGTCCTTTCTAGTTTATTTTATTTGCTTATAGTTTTGGTTGCTTATGTTCTGGTCGCTCTGAGTTCTCTGAACTATGCATTCCTAGGTTGGCTGCCCCTTTTCCTGTAGTTAATAGCACCCTTAGTTATTCATCTTCTTTCATTTTCTTCTATATTTGGGGCAACCTTGTCAGATTTATCCTCAGTATTACAGAGAATAATCTGTTAAGATTCTCCACAGTTTTATTTCTGTTCAGTTGTGTATATTAAGAACAGTGTCACAGCCAGCCAGTGGTGGTGGTGCACACCTTTAATCCCAGCACTTGGGAGGCAGAGGCAGGCGGAGCTCTGTGAGTTCAAGGCCAGCCTAGTTTACAAAGTAAGTCCAGGACAGCCAAGGCTACACAGAGAAACCCTGTCTCAAAAAAAAAAAAGAAACAAAAACAAACAAACAAACAAAAAACAATGTCACTGCTGGCCTTTTGTTTCTGTTTCTGCCTTTAGACTTACCGTCCTCTTGGTCCAGCTAGGTCTGTGGTTTCCAGCACCCACTTCACAGTGTGTTGGTAAGACCTGTTGCTTCAGAGCAGCTTCAGGTTCACTACAGAATTAGAGGAAGGTTCCAGACAGCCCTCCATGCCCCGTGCCTGATGTGGCCTCCCCGTCCCTGCTCCACTGTGTGTGCTTGTTACAGTCGAGACCAAGACATCATAAGCATAGCTTTCATGTGAAAAAAAAATTTAGTTTCATAGGAAATTGCTTGTATAAATTGACTTTGGATTTTTTTTTCAGCATAATTTACTCCTCACTCAGTATGATACTGTTATTTCATTCTTGTTAATCTGGTTATTTCATTCTTGTTAATCTGTTCTCTTATAGGAGATTTTCTGGAGCTAGTGGAATGAGACAGCAGGAATATATTTGTTGCTTTTGGTCCACTCTGCCCTTCTGATGAAATTCCTTTCTCTGTGGGTTCTCAGCTAGGGCCATGGCACAAGGCTGACATAGGTCCATCTTCACCTCTACTAAGAAAATCCCTCTTCTTGCCTTTCCAGTTTATGAGTACATATAGATACCATGTGTACCTGCTGAGACTAAAGAGGACATTTCATCCCCTGCAACTTAAGTTACAGATGTTGAGACATCTCTTTAGCACGTGCCTTCCCCTTTTGATCAGTCTAGCTGTGGGCATGTACTTCCCATGAAGCACCACCACAGAATTCCTTCCTACTGTAGGGTTCACTGCCGGGCTGCTTTCCCATAGGCTCTCCTGCCCCAACTCCCTTCCCCACTCCTCTTCAACTGTCTGTTTTTCTCCTTTGGGAGCTATAAGCTTTGAACTTGGATTTAAAAGATGAGAAAGAAGAATAATATTGAGCCATTCTTGAAAAGCAGCATCTGTCAAACAGAGGGATAAACCTAGATTCTAATCCAGAGGCTTAAATATGCAAGTGCCTTTCTCCTTTATTTAAAGAGGTTGAGTTTGAGATCCTGCATGAGCCAAAGCACAAGCAGGCCTATGTTTATTATGCTGAGTCTGTGGACCATAGTTACTTCCTAGAGCCATATCATAGGTTGTATATGGGTCTAAGTGCGTGCATGCGTGTGTGTGCGTGTGTGTATCCTATGCTGGAGTTTAAAGCCAAAGCCTTGTGCATGCTAGGCAAATGTTTTAAAAATGTGATATATCTGCAGCCCTATTTCAGTACATGAAGAATTATTTGCACACGTGTGAGTGCGAGCACATGCAAGCATGAACACACGGGTACGAATGTTGCATGTTGCACATGTGGTAGTGGGAGACTTCTTGGGAGATGGTTCTTTCCTGGCACCTATAGGATTTGAAGATGAAACTTCTTATGTGGGGGAGGATTAGGTAAATACATTTTACTTACAGACAAGTAATATTTACTTGGCTATTAATTCAAGCCAAGTCTTGCATATTTTCATCTTCCTTACCACAGCATCTTTTTCTTGTTTGGTTTTATAACCTATATGGGCCATCCAAAACATATAACTCAAATTGCAGTTACTTTGTGTAAACACTGTATTGTTTAGGAGCGGCTTTGTTTGGTTTGGGTGTTAGTAACCTATTTTAAAAGCCAGCCTTTTACTTAAGAGAGCTAGCTTCTTAACATTCACAGCCATAAATGACATGGTTGGCTGCTTTTCCCATCAGCTATCTTTATGCTTGTAGATACCACTTAATCCATTTAAAATCATTTGGCCAAATAAGCTATTTGGTAGCAAGTCTGCCTTGCGTTAGCTGTGTTTTGGGCCTTACACTACCAAGGCTTTTTTAAGTCTGTTTATGTAAATTATCTTTTACAGACCCTGAGCCAGAAGTAATAGCAGAGAATCCACAGCCACAGCTGCAGTCACATCCGCAGCCACAGCCACACTCAGAGCCTCAACCACAGCCGCAACCGAAGCTGCAGCCACCGCCACCACATTTTGGAGCTGTGGAAGAAACATTTAGAATAGTTAAGGACTCTCTCAGTGATGAAGTTGTTAAAGCCACACAAGCTATCTATCAGTTTGAACTCTCAGGTGAGGACTGAGTCCGATGATCTGGAGCTTTTATGAAACAGTAAGAAGAAGATTTTGTTGGAAGAAAATCAGCTCTTGACACCTGGATAGTTAGCTATGTCTAGAACTATTGACTATAGATACTCAAAAACAGCAAGGAACTATCAGTTTGTATTTTTGAGTTAAGATTTGTTTGTATGGAAACAAACATAGGTAGAATACATTTTCATGGCATATACTTTGAGTGTTAAATAACTCCTTGGCATAGATGATAGGAAGTCCTACATAGATGGACATATGCATTGTGACAGGTAATGTAATAATTTAGCAGTTGTGGGCAGCTAACCATTTTTATTTTTGAGTTAGGCCAGTATGAGTATAATAAAAACCTCTGCAATGAGCCAGGCATGATGGCACATCCCTTTAATCTTAGCACTCAGTGGGGGGACGGCGGCAGAAGCAGGTGGATCTCTGAGTTTGAGGCCAGCCTGGTTTACAGAGTTAGTAGCTAGGGCTATTTTAGAGAGAGTCTGTCTTAAAAAACAAACAAACAAAACCAAAAACCTCTTTACATGTTTTTCCATATAATAAAAAGTAACATAGACTAATGGTAGTTTTAAGCACTGCTTTCTTTAGTTCTTCTATATGCAAATTTTCTCATCCTTTATGCTGTTCTCTGCCTTTTCAAAATCTACCATTCTTTCTTTTTGTTTCTGAATTTGTGGTCTGTAGCTTCAGTCATTTTTTGTGCTGAAGTCCTAAACTTGAACCCTTCCTGCTTATGTCATGACTTATCTATCAAAGATTAGTTTTGGATGAATCAAACTATCTGGTTGCCCCAGAGTTGCAAAATCTTGTTATACAAGAACCAAAACAATAACATCAGCTGGACTTGTGGAGATTCAGTTGTTATCTCTCTTTAGAGAGGTCAAAGCAGCACCTTAGACTTTTCTCTTGGCATTTACTGCCTCATTTTCCACAAAATATTTTCAGAAAACCTGCAGCTAGCAGTGACTTCAGCTTCCTGCCATCAGATGTAAATCAGCCTTCATAGGCCCTCCTTTTCTTTCCAGTACCCTGGAGTTTAGCTTCCTGCCAGTGCACCGCAAGCTTCCTTAACTGGACCTAGAAGAGTCTAGGTCCTCAGATGTAGAGTTTGATCCAGTAGGTCAGGGGTGTACCTGAGAGTCTCCATTTCTGACAGACCATGACAGTAAAGTAGTTCATGGATGACACTGGTAGTATTAGAGTTAGAGATCCCATTTCCTCTGGCCTCCTCAGGAATTGTCCTGCTAACTCCTGCTAACTGTACCTTTTCTTCAATTTGTGCACCCTGCAGCCTCCTTTCCAGCACTTATTTTAATGTTTTCACTGATAGTCTATCTTTAAAACAGAATCTAACAATATTGCCAAACCATTCTCCCTGTCTTTCTTTCAGAGCCACACTGTATTTTTACCTGAAGCCCACTCTATGGAACATACTTTTCTCCCTCCACTTTTTCTTAGGTCCACAGAATCTGTTTTCCCCACAGTCCTAGATGATGGCTGTTTCCCCAGTGGCTATTTGTCATCCCTCCCTGTAACTCCTCTGTAGGATCTGAGGCTGTTGACCACTCCTTCCTTCTGCAAATGCCCCCTTTTTCTGGCTTCCTCCTTAACAGTCTCTGTTTATTCCCCACTTCTCAAAGTGAGCTGTTATACCCATAGACACTGAGCCATGTCCTTTGTTCCAGCCCCTCTTAAGCACTGTAGTAACTTGAGTGTGAATTTGACTGCTCAGCTTTGCACTTCCTCTGTTTACACACCTGCACCACCTCTGACGCCTCTTTGGAGAAGAACCTGGCTTTTCTTTTTGTTATTGAATAATCTTCAGAACCTAGCGCAGTACTTGGATTGTAATAAGTGCTAAGTTGATGGTAGCCTGAGGATTTTAACCAGGACAGCATGGTAGAAGACCACATGTTGTCTCTACAGGTGAAGATGGAGGCACATGGTTTCTTGATCTGAAGAATAAAGTTGGGAAAGTTGGGCATGGAGAGCCCCCTGACCGGGCGGATGTAGTGATGAGTATGACCACTGATGATTTCGTCAAAATGTTTTCAGGTGAGTTTTCAACTCTTTTAGATCACTTGCTTCAAATGGAAACATTTGGAAATTCCACTTTCTTCTTTTCCAGATAATCAGGGTTCAGAAATGTTCCTAACAATGGGAGCTCTCTGTGCAGGTAGTCTTGGGAAGGCTGCTCAAAGGCTGCCTCTGCTCCCACTTCTACCTCATCTGATTAATGGGAAATTGATGGCAGACCTTTCTTTTCTCATCACTGAGAAGAGATCATTCAGCCTGAATTAAGCTCCTGTACTTTGAAGGTGTGGGCCAGAGTCACAGAGAAGTCAGCAGTAGCTCACTTGAGCCTCACCAGATGCCATAAAGGAGCCAGGAGCCAGCTCTCTTATGCCCTTGTGCCTTGATTTTGTGAAATCTCTATCCCAGGGAATCTTTTGCATGATTTTATGTTCTGCTCAGTTAGCTCTAAAAATGTCAAAATAGTTTTAAGGGTGATTTGTTCTATTTTATTCTCTTAGAATATTACTCAAACTGGTAAGTTAACACAAATTCTAAAAAAAAAAAAAATAGCAACACTACTCTTAACTAAGACATTATAATATTCTAATCTAAAATTATTAATTGTAGCTAGGTGCAGTGTCGCACACCTGTGATCCCAGCACTTGGTGAGGCAGAAGCAGAGGCAGGCAGATCTCTGAGTTTGAGGCCATCCTGGTCTACAAAGTGAGTCCAGGACAGGCTACATAAAGAAACTGTCTCAAAAAAAATAATTGTAATGAATTATAAAGTTACTCATATGTTCTCTCCTTCCACCTTTATGTGTCCTGAGAGTCCAAATCAGGTTGTCGGGCTTACACAGCACATCTTGAAGGTCACTCTTGCTCTGAATTATTCTGTTCTGACTGACCTTCTAATCAGTGGATTGGGAATCAGTGGCTTCCTTTGCTTTGCTTTAATACAGGATTTCATGTAGTCTAAGCTGCCCTGGAAAACTGTATAGCTGAGGATGACTTGAACTAACCCTTTACCCATGTTAAGAGAGCATCACCGCTCTTGGCTCCATGGCTTCTTTAGCTTTTCCTTATATATAAGCCTAAGATAGTGAGCTTTCTTTCTCTTTCTGTGACTGTATTCTTGCATTTGCTAGAGTTCCCTAAGACATGAGTTATGAGGCACATTTTATACCTAGACTGGGAACATTCTGCCTTTGTCATTTCATTCTGCTTATCAGCTTTCCTTTATATGGGTACAGTTTCGACTGTGGAGTCTAAGAAGTCTTCTTTTAGAGATCGTAACTATTTCTATGTCTATTTGTTTAGAAGCATTCACTATAATACAAAACCTAAAGTAACCAAATCTCTTTTTAGCCAGTAGAGGCCACTGTGTGGCAAAGCAGTAAGTAATAAACTTTCAATGGGCTCAGTGGCACATGCCTGTCATCTCAGTTTTTTAGGGGGTTGAGGCTCAGGAGGATTGCTTGAACTAGAAGTTTGTGGCCAGTCTGAACAACAAGGTGATGCAGTCTGAACAACAAGGTGATGTCCCTATCTCTTAAGTAAAAAGGAAAGGAAATAAACTGTTTAAGATTACCTTATTTGAGCCAGATATAGTGGAGCACACCTTTAATCCCTGTACTCAGAGGCAGAGGCCAGTGGATCTCTGTGAGTTCGAGGCCAGCCTGGACTACAAAGTGAGTCCAGGACAGCCAGTGCTATTAGATACAGAGAAACCTGTCTTGAAAAACAAAACAACAAGAAAAAATATTACCTTATGTAAAGAGGGACATGTATGTATATGTTTTCACATTGTGGTTAGTGACTTTGTTTGAGAGCTCCCCCTCTATCAATAGAGTTTTGATAAAATAGTATATTGTAAAATTTACTAAGACAGAACTTGTCTTAGTAAAAATAGACATGATTCTCAATATATTTTTAGTCATCTACCATTAAGTTTGACTTTAAGAATATTTCTATTACTCTCTTTATGTAGTCAGTTCCTATTTCCATTCAGTCCCTAGTCAGCAAAATAATATTGCATTCTGTTTTTCCATTCTTTTTTTTTTTTTTTTTGTAAATGGCATCAAAGTGTAAAGTATCATGCATTGGGCTTTTTTCAGCTTAAGGCTTTTAAGAGTCATTCATGTATTAGCAGTTTTATTTATTCTCCTTGTTGCATGTTTAATTGTATGGCTATACCATATTATTTTCTTTTTCACACAGGTAGCCCAGGCTCTCCTCATATTTGCTATAGCCCTGAGGCTTTCCCTGAACTCCTGAGTTCTTGTTTCCACCTCCGAAGTGCTGGATTGCAAACATATACCACCATGCCCTCCTCACACCACAGCTTGTTTAGCCATTCGGGAACTGACGGGCATCGTGGAGAGTGGGCACTGTTGTTTTGTTTTGGGCTAGTCTGTGAGGGGTTTTTGTCTTTTTTTTTTTTTCGCTTAATTCTTGCCCTTGACAGTACTGTTTTTTAGTTCTGTTGTTTTAAAAAAAAAAATTATTACCGTCCTACTAGAATCTTAACATTTTGGTTTGGATTACCCAATTGCTAATGGTTGAACCTTTTTAAAAATGTGCTTATTGGCTGTCTGTGTTAAGCCTTAGAGAAATGTCTTTAGTCTCCTTTTAAAAGTTTTAATATTATGTATACGGTTGTTTTGCTTGCAAGCATGTCCAAGCACCACGTGCATGCCTGGTGGCCATGGAGAGCTCCTTGAAATGGAGCAGAGCTCCAGCCAGTTGTGAGCCTCCATGTGGGTGCTGGGGACCAAACTCAAGTTTTCTAGAAGAGCCCCAAGGGTTCTTAGCCACTGAGACATCTTTTTAGCTTCCCCCCTTATTGTTTTTAAATTGAGTTGTCTTTTTTCCATGAATTTTAAGAATTATTTTTTTTTAATTTCCAGGTATATTATATGCAAATACTTTATTCTGTTTATTCACTTTCTTTTTTTAAAGATTTATTTATGTATTTTATGCTTATGAGTGCTCTGTCTGCATATATATGCCTGTGTGCCAGACAGGGCATTAGATCTCATGAAATGGTTGTGAGGTGCTGTGTAGTTTACTGGGAATTGAACTCAGGACCTCTGGAAGAGCAGCCAGTGCTCTTAACCATGGAGCCATCTCTCCAGCCTCCTTTGCTGTTGCTGTGATAAAATACCATGCTCTTGCTTTTTGTGAAATCTTAGGTCTGGTTCATGCTCCACGTCCTCTAAGCTCTCTCCTCCAGCTCTGCCCTCCTTGTGCTTTCTCCTCGAGCTTTTTCCTGGAGCTCCTCCTCCTTCTCTCCCCTTCCTGTTCTCTAGCTCCTCCCCTCTTTCCTGTCCTCTGGCTCCTCCCATCGCACAACATTGTATCTAGTTGCTTATTTGACTCCTGTTTACACAAGAGTTGGCCTTCTTCTGCAGTAACTGTCAGCCTGTCTTTTTATTGTAGAGTTTCTAAGCCAGAGTAGAAATATCTCAGAACAATGGTTTAATTTGCACAAGGAGCCTTTGGAAGAGGTGTGATCCTCACAAGCTATCCCACCTGCTGTCACAAACAAAAGGAGATGGACTTGCAAGTTCTCCTGCCATTAGTAAGGGCCTCCCAAAACCCTTCTCTCCGCAGAGATTTAAATATCAAAGCAGGCCATTGGAGTCACAGCTCCTGACAGTTGCTGTGATAAAATACCATGCTCCAGAGTGACTTACATAACGAGAGTTCATTTTGCCTTATGGCTCCAGAGAGTGTCCACAGCAGCTGCACAGAAACTGAGAGTTCACATCTCGGATGCATGTAAGAAACAGGGCAAGCTGGGCACGGTGGCCACGCCTTTATCCCAACACTCGGGAGGCAGAGGCAGGAGGCTCTCTGTGACTTCAAGGCCAGCCTGGGCTACAAAGTGAGCCCATGATGTCCAGGGCTCTGTTACACAGAGAAATCCTGTCTCAAAAAAACAAAAGAAAAAAAAAAAAGAAAGGAGTTAAAAAGAAGAAACAGAAAGACCAAATTGGACAAGGCTGTCAGTTCTCAAAGCCTCATTGCAATAGTGCACTTCCTCCAAGCTTCGTGTTCCACAAGTTCTGTAACCTCTAACCAACACCACAAATTGGGGATGAGGTGTTCAAATATAGGAGCCTACATTTATTCCATTATAACCCTGTGTTTTAAGACTTGAAAAGTTTAGTTTGTACATTTAATTCTGTGATCCATTTTGAGATAAATTTTTACGTTTCTATCTTTGTATGAGGTGTGTGTATGGGGTGGACAGGTGTTCATGCATGGCATTTCTGTGGAGGGCAGAGGACAACTGTAGATTCTGTTTCCTTTAGCCTCTGGGTACTGAACTCACTTCACCAGGCCGAGCCATCTCTTCGCTTCAATATTATTTTATTTTTATTATTATTATTATTAATCTCCCAAAGCATGAATTATTTCAGGTTCTTTTCTTCTGCACTTACATTTCTGATTAACTTTAAATTGCTTCTTTTATTCATGATTTTTGCTGTTTTGAACCTACACATGTCACAGAGGTGAAAGGTAGGAGAGGACACTAATGTACCAGACACATGTTGTACCTTCTAGGAGACATAAGCAATGTCGAAACATTTATGTAAGGAAGTCATAAATGATAGTTGGGCATACCTGGCTAAGGATTAAAGCACTGCTATGTACAAGCTGTGTGACTTTGGGCAAGGTAAAATCCTCTTTGAGCCTCAGTTTTCCTATTAACTCTGTGCTCTAGATTGAACTGACACTGAATTAATTTTATGTGCATTAGTGTGAAGGTGTCAGATCCCTTGGAATTGGCATTACAGATAGTTGTGAGCTGCCATGTGGGTGTTAGGAATTGAACCCCGGGTCCTTTGGAAGAGCAGACACTGCTCTTAACCACTGAGCTATCTCTCCAGCCCCATAGTAGCTATGTTAAAATTTTTTTTTTGGAGACAGGGTTTCTTTGTGTAGCCCTGGCTGTTCTGGAAGAACATTCTGTAGACCAGGCTGACCTTGAACTCAGAGATTCATCTGCCTCTGCCTTTCATGTGCTGGGATTAAAGGCTGTGCCACCACTGCCCAGCTACGATTCTATTTTGTTGTTGTTGTTTTGTTTTGTTTTGTTCTGGAGATAGGGTTTCCTTGTGTAATCTTTGGACTCACTTTGTAGACCAGGCTGGCCTCAAACTCAGAGAGATTTGCCTGCCTCTGCTTCCTGAGTGCTAGGATTACAGGTGTGTGCCACAGTACCCAGTTTCTAATTCTAGTTTTAATGCTTACATGTCTCTGGTTGAAAAATGCTAACACATACTTTTGTGTTCATAGACTATACTTTAAAAAATTATTTCTTAAATAGTGTGTCTGTGTGTGTCTGTCAGTGGGTATGCCTATGTGTGTATAAGTATCCTCAGAGGGAGACCAGAAGCATCAGATTCCCTGGAACTGGAATGATGGGCATTTTTGAGCCACTGGACAAGGGTGCTGGAAAACAAACTCAGATCTTCTTAAAGAACTGTGCAAGTTCTTTTTCCAGCCCTACATACACTATATTAAAAATGAGAATTTTTAGTATATGTGTGTTTGCATGTTTATATGAGTACACATGTACGAGTACCACTATGCGTGGGGAGGTCAGAGAACAACCTTGTGTGTCCGTGCTCACCTTCACCTTCTGACGGGGTGTCTCTGTGGTCCGTGGCCGTATACGGCATGCTAACTGACCACAAGCCTCCATGCACTCACCTCACAGTAGGAGCCCCGGTACAGACGTGCCTCCCAGCACCGGCACTACATGGCTCTGGTCCTCACGCCTGTGCAGCGAGCACTTTCCCTGAGTCTCTCCCCAGCTCCTCACCACTGTGTATTTGATGGTCTTAGCTGCTGTTTGCTTAGACACAGTCACTGTGTAGCTCAGCATGGCTTTGAACATGTGATCCTCCTGACTCAGCCCTTAAGTGCTGGAGTTACAAAATGTGTACTGCTATGCCCAGCTTAAAAATAATTTGTAAATATTTTGTACATTTTCCATGCCATTTAATTTCTTGAAATTAAGTGAAATGGGTAAAGGGTTTAATGAGCTATAATAAATTAGGAAAATTAAATAATGTAATATTTGCGTACCAAAATCCATTGGGGTCTGCATTTCTTTAGACTGTTGTACCCAGTAGTATAAACATAGCATCTTTAGCTTTTTACCGTTACTCTCTGCTGACTGTTTCTGACGTTATCTTTTGTATTATAGGATATTGTTAACATCCACAGCAGAAGCTGAGCTTCCCTAGATAGTAATATGCAATGCTGTCTAGAAATTTCTGTGCTCCGGGATTTTTATAACTGCAGATTCTTCCTAGAGTGCATGTTCTTGAAGTGGCATATCCCTTAGGACACTAATGATGCTTTCTCTGTCTCATTTCTTATTTTAGGGAAACTAAAGCCAACCATGGCATTCATGTCAGGAAAACTGAAAATTAAAGGAAACATGGCCCTAGCAGTCAAATTGGAGAAGCTAATGACCCATATGAATTCCAGACTCTGAAGGACAAGAAGCAAAAGTGTTGACTGTTCTCCTCAGAAGTAAAGAAGTTAAAACTCTGTTGTCTCCTCCACTGTCGTATAAGGACACATAGGTTTGTTCTGGAAAAAGTAGACTTCCTGTATCTATTAGACTTGAAATTATAATTAAAACAACTAACCACTCAAGACATCTTAATATATTGTCTATTTTTATCCAATTTCCCCCTCTAAGCCTTTATTTCATTCATTGCCTTTTGCAGGAAAAATATATACCATGAACAACTAATCAGAATCAAGCAATAAAATTAGCTGTTTACTACTTTATCTTCACTAAGAAAGTTGTGTGAGGGACTGTAATATCTCCCTTAACCACTGCCTCTCTTCTTCTTCTTCTTCTTCTCCTCCTTCTCCTCCTCCTCCTCTTCCTCCTCCTCCTCCTCCTCCTTCTTCTTCTTCTTTCTTTTTTTTTTTTTTTTAAGGACATTTGTTTTGCCCAGCAGTGTTTCATAGACTTCAGTGCACAATACTTAGAGGCAAACTTTTGTTTAACTTACTATAAGTATTTTATATTATTGATACTATTCTAGCTATCTTTACATTTTAAGCTTTTCCCTTTTTCTCCAGATGGGGTAACTCAGCTGGCCTTGAACTCAGGCCAGTCCTCCTGCCTCCGTTTTCTTAGTGCTATGATTAGCCACAATGCCTGGCTAAGTTGAGTTTCCAAGTGCTAACATACAGAAATAGAATTAATTTGTGAGTATCCCTAATGCCCTGCAGTAGTTAGACCTACTCATTATCTTTAGCAGCTTTTTAAAACAGATGCTTTAAATCATGTTATCTTCAAATAAAGATGAATCTATCTCCTTTTCCCCCATTCTGTGTGCCTTTTATTTCTCTTTCTTGTCAGTTTGCACTGTTAGGTCCCTTAAAATAGTGGTGAATACTAATGGTAAGAATGGATGCCCAGCCTGAGAAACAGCATGACCTGTCTCAAAAACATGACAATACGAACCAAACCAGTCCATCTACTCTATAGTCACTGTAATTAGTTCACTGAATGTGTGATATGCTGTTCTGTCCACGCAGAGCTAACTGTCATCACAGTTACTGTCCTTCCTCTCCCTCCATCCCTTTTTTACTTTTTATCCTGTGTGGAGTTGGGGAACCACTTGTGGGGACTCAGTTCTCACCTTCCAACAAGCCATCAAGGTTAGAGGCAAGTGCCTTCATGTACTGAGTCATCTTGCAGGCCCCAATCAGAATGTTTTATCACCCTCCCCACGCTGCATCAACAAAACATTTTAGTCCTATGCAACAACAAACCAAGTTCCTATTACTACTGACGTGCCTATTCTGGACATATGTATAGAGTCACACTTTTCACTTTCCTGATAGGCTTCCTTCACTAGGCATAATACTTTCAAGGTTTATTCATGCCATATCAAAGCCATAATTTGTTTGATACATTTGTTGCATTGGCCTCCATTTTGGGGCTTAACGTAAGTTATTTGAAACCCTGTTGTGCCCTGTCACCTTTTGTCCACTCAAAACTTTCCTTCTCACTCAGGAACTCATACCAGATATAATAGTTCTGTTAAAATTCTACTACAGTAGTCGATGATACAGTCACTCAGTGACTCAAATCCAACATGCTTGATAGCTAATAACCACAATTTAAAAACAAAACAAAACCTCATAGATCACCAGGATAGAGTAATCTTGGGAAACAAATTCTCTTTTGCTAGTTTTTTTTTTTTTTTTTTTCCTTTTTTTGAGACAGGGTTTCTCTGTATAGCCATGGCTGTTCTGGAACTCGCTGACCAGGATGGCCTTGAACTCAGAGAGATCCACCTACCTCTGCCTCCTAAGTGCTGGGATTAAAGGCGTGTGCCACCACCACTTGGCTGCTAGTGTTTTCTTTAAACCACCCAAACTGTTACCCCTCAGTGAAGTCTAAAATATACCATGGACCTTAATAAACAAACACAGAACCAAAGATTTCATTTATATGTGTATCTTGCGTGTGCCTGGTGCCTACAGGAAGAGGACATCAGGTACTGTGAAACAAGTTACAGATGGTTGTGAGTCACCATGTTGGTGCTGGAACCAATCCTAGGTCTTCTTCAAGAACAACAAATGCTCCTAACCACTGAGCCATCTCTGCAGCCCCAATTTTCTTTCTGTCTCTTTTTTTCCCACTAGTTAAGTTTCCTGCTATCTCCATATTTGTTAGCCTCCTCTCAGCACCTCCAACCTTCTTGAGATCTGAGAATAAGTTTGTGTTTGTACCTCATTTCTCCCCTGATTGACACACACTAAATTTTGGCCATGGCCATGATCTGGTTGGAATACAGACATGCCCTTAATATACACATTTAATCCCAAACAATGAAGATAAGGTTGGTTTATAGAAGGAGGCAGGCATATTTGAAAGTGACATCTATTAAGGGGCAGACAAAGTGATGAATCAGAGAAAGATTTCATGGAATGAGTCAAATGGATATGCCCAACTTTCACAAGAGTAGGACAGGAAGGAGAGGTTACTTAAGAGCTGTGCAGGGAGAGAGGAAGAGAGGGGAAGAGAGTGAGAAAAAGGGAGAGGGAGGGGGATAGAGATTTTTTTTAACTGGGGCAGTTTTATAGAGATAGGCTGCAAAGAAAACAAGCTAGACCCAGGTCAAGACAGAACAAGCCAGAGAATAAAGAGGAGCCAGAAGATTAAAACATTATTGCCAGAATTACTTTGAGACCAGGCAGAGCAAATCAGAGAGAAGCCAGTTTGAATCAGTCATCTTGGAGAGAAGTTTGGGCCAGAATAGCTGAGTTGAACCAGCCAGTGAGAGTTCAAAAAGAGCTAGGAATACCTTCATCTCATCCCCTCATCTGACATTTATAACCCTGGATGCTTTGTTCACAATCTCTGTCATATTCTCATCTCTTATCTACCTCAAAGGTAGGAATGACTGAGATTTCCTTTCTTAGGAGGGGTGAGGCCAAGATGTGGGTAGTATCTAAGGCTGATCAGATTATGTTCTAAATATAAGTTACTGCCTTTATAAATATTTTGGAAACACTCATTGCCTTGTGGAGAAAAGGGAGTCTAGATCCAGACTGCTTTGGATGAATCTGAGCTCCAACAACAAACTATGTTAAGATTTCTTAGTTTCTCTAAGCCTCAGTTTCTGAAAACTAAAATTATTTTAAGAACTGCAATATCACTTCTCAGTATATACTTCAAAATGTGGGGCTGGAGAGATGGCTTAGGGGTTAGGATCATTAGTTGATCTTCCAGAGTGGAGTGGGACTATTGAACCCTTCAGTGATATAATGACACAGAGGCTTATTAATGTTTTAAAGCTTAGACCCTTCGCTGGGCAGTCTCCTGACTACTCTTACCTGACCAACCCTGGCTATGTCCTGCTAAGTAGCCAGGTCCACCTCTCTGCTCCACTCTGGTCCATCTCCTGGTCACTCCCTGCTCCGCCCCCACGTCCAGTGGCCAATCTTTCGCCACTGATTTTTTTTCTCCCCGGGTCCCATTCTCTCTGCCCGGAAGTTCTGCTCTCTACTTTCTGCTCAGATCTTTATTACAATCAATAGGCAAACGAAGAAGGATAAATATTTACAAATTATGAGACTGGCCGTAGAAATAACAATGCCAAGATCCCACTAGTATCTCTGCTGGTACAGAATCAACAATATGCAGAGAGACACCTTCACACAACTACCTCAACACCAGAGGACCTGAGTTTGATTCCCAACACCCAGGAGGCAGCTCACAGCCATCTGTAACTCCAGTTTCAGGGCATTTGACACCTGCTACTGTCCTATAAGGTCACCAGGCACACGCTTGGGTACAGAGACATTCACACAGGCAAAACACCCATACATACAAAAAACAAAGTTTTCATAAAATGGCAATGTTAATAGCACCAACTTCATAGACTTCCCTGACAACCCACTGAGTGCCTGGCGCAAACCTGGGTATCTAGTAAGTGCTAGGAAAGTTGTTTTTTGTTTGTTTGTTAAATACGTGCAGTCTTGCCTCCGTCTGCCATGCGTGCCATGCGTGCCAGAGCACCAGTCTGAGAGTTTTAGGTGCTGCAGCATGAGTTCGCAGCTGCAAAAATATAGCTCTTATCAGAGAGTCTATCCTTTAGCCAAATATGAATGATGATGGCCTAGCAGCATGGATTCAGATTGCCCTGAAAGACATGCCTCACCGTGGAAGTGTTTACATGAGATTTCTTTTATTAGTTACAGAGCAAAGGTAGTCATAAAATCCAGGCATTCAGCCAATGGCCGGGACTACAGGTGGGTGGACTACGGCCGAGCGGGCCCCATTTACAATTTTCTGGGGCTGACGAGATCTGTAGCTTTTGGCTTGCTGGAAACTAGTCAGGTGACAATGCGTTTAGTTTTTTATTATTACTATTTATGATCGTTTTGCCTGCACGTACGTCAGAGCACCACTTGTGTCAGTGCTTGCAGGGACTAGAGAAGGCACCGGAGCCTCTGAAACTGGAGTTACAGACTCTTAAGAGCCATTGCTGGGAATCACACCTGGGTTTGGAACCAAACTTGTGTGTTCTGGAAGAGCAGCCAATGCTCTTAACCACTGAGCTGTCTGACTAGCCCCTGCTAAAAATAACACTTTAAAGGTTTTCGTTAGAGGCATGAGGGTGGTGAGTTTGCCACATGGGTGGGCAATAAACTGGCTTTCAAAGAAACTAAAAGAGCCCGAGATAATTTGTCTCTGGTCTGCAACATCTTAACTCTTCATAATCATGCAGGTTAGCCTAGTAGAGTCTGCAACACCGTGCAGCATCTTCTTCCTTTAAACATTTTGAGATGTCCAGTTTATTACGGGTGTGTGTGAGAGAGAGAGCGAGAGACTGAGCTGCGGCGTTCCGACACTGCGGGGTGAGTACGCGGTTGGTTTCAGGCGGCCCGGCACAGCTCCGGCTGAGGTCCGACACCTCTAAAAGCGAGCAGGCTCCGCTTGCTTCCAGGGTTTACCCGACGTGCGCGGAGACGGCGGACAGCCCACCCGCGTGGGAAGTGCGGGGCCGCGGGTTCCGCACGGACCGGGCCCGTCCGGCTCGGGGCCGCGCCCCCTCAGGGTGGCGAGCGACGCGGGTCCAGCGCCTTCCGCGGGCGTCGCTACACACTTCCTGTAGGTCCCGGCGCCCGCCGAGCGCTTCCGGTGCCGGCTGAAGCCGGGGTCCGAGCCCCCGCCCCGCCCCCCTCCGGCCCCGCCCCGCGCGGCCCCGCCCCCGCGCTCCGAGCCCGGCGCGCGGAGCCCGGGGCAAACCGAGCGGCTCCGCCGGTGGCCGCGCC